AAAAAAAAAAAGTGCCACTGGGTGAGTTCAAACTGGCAACCTATTACTGGAATATTTAACTGTCTGCACTACCCAGGAACTCCTGAGATAGGCTATATAGGTATACTTGGAGATACTGCAGTGGTCTGGATTCAAACCCACACTATCTCTAAGGTGTGCCTGTATCCATTCCAGATCACTGCAATAAAGCAATTAGCACAAGTCACACAATATTTTTGTTTCCTTAGTTCATATAAAATTATGTTTACACTATCTTGTAGTCTGTGAAAGGGTCCTTAGTGCATAGTAAACTAATCATTAGGCTGCTAACCACAAGGTCGGCAGTTCAAAGCCACCATCCGCTATGTGGGGGAGAAGGATGAAGCAGTCTGCTTCCACAGAGCTTTATAGTCTTTGAAACCCAATGGAAAAGTTCTACTCTGTTCCATAGGCTCACTCTGAGTCAGAATCGACTTGATGCAAGTGGTTTGACTTGGTAGTCATTAAGTATACAATAGCATTATGAGAAAGTTGGAAATATTTTAAGAATTACAAAAATGTGACACAAAGACATGAAGTTAGCAAATGCTATTGGAAGCACAGTGTCAATCGACTTGCTTGCCTCAGGGTTGCAAGAAAACATACATGAAGAAAGCAAAAGTCATTTTACAAATCTTCAATTTGTTAAAAAAAAAAAAAAACAACAAAACTCAGTATCTGTGAAGTACAATACTGCTCTGCCTATTATACTAATAATGAAACTTATTCTGCATAATGGGAGCCATTGAAGCATTTTGAATAAGAAAGTGATAGGACTGGATTTACATTTTTAAACACGTTGTTGTTGTTGTTGTTGTTGTTGTTGTTGTTTAGTGCTGTTGAGTGGGTACTGACTCATAGAAACACTTATAGGATTTCCAAGGAGCAGCTAGTGGGTTTGAACTGCTGACCTTATGGTTTGCAGTTCAGTACTAATCCTACAGCACCACATCCTAAAATTCCAGCTTTTTACACACACACAAATCTCTTTAGCAAGTTATAAAAACAAACACAAACACAGAAATTCCCTTTCAAATTCTGTTAAATGCCGTTAAGTCGATTCCGACCCATAGCGACCATATACAGGGTTTCTGAGGCTTTAAATCTTTACGGGAGCAGAAAGCCTCAT